ATGTTTCGATGCAGCCGATAAACCTATGAAAGCTAGATACACCAACCTGCTAATAATATTAATCTGACCATGGTACAGCGCGAATAATTAGGAAAAGCCGGTGCGTATAGTTGGATTAAATACAGGCAGAGGATGCGCCTGTCCAAATATGAGTATATGCGGAATGACAGATGCATGTTTCAGACTTACCTCCGTGTTGAAGACATAGTCTGTGAAACAATGTGATACATGAACTACGTCTTGTCAATTGAACGGGGGACTCACCGTTGAGAGGAAGTACACTTGAATCCGCAAAGAGTAGATACAGATACTTTAATGTTTCGCTCTGATGAGAAAACTGAGTCAGCTACGATCATGTGGGAAGGACAGAGTCACACACCATCAAGAAAGTCTCCATTTTATCGTCATACTCCACGGGAACTTGATCCACATTTATCACACTCGCATACCCACCCGTCGGGATACGGCAATGCTTTTCGATGGCCTGAAATATCGCCCAGCCGTAATCGCGATACTTGGGATCACCGGTGAGCCTGAAGGCAATGAAAATGGATTCGACAGTTTCCGGGCTGCAGTACAAGTTGAATCCTTTATGAGTGAACGGCGCAACAGAAAAAAAACATACCGGAGGATATATCGGGCATCAAAAGGAGGAGGGGCGTTAGGGCTGGTAATTCACAAGCAAGTCAATGTGCAACTCGAGTGACAAGTGAGTCAATATACCGCGCGCCTTTGATGTACCAGTCCGCAGGAACCACCGAATCATCCATCCCATCGCCCAGAATACGGAAGTGCGCAATTTCAGGCGCCAGGCCGCTGACCGCCATGTTCAGTGCACATGTAAACACTACCGAAGCACAACGAAACATACGTTTGGGTGTCATGTGTGGCCATACATGTGTCAATGAGTTCCACTCCTGTAAGCCAATCACGTTCGCCTTGGTTGGTGAGTTCGTCGGTTGACGGTGGAATCGAGACATTGTGAGTAAGGGCACCGGACGTCGTGGCACCGAGCATGAGGGAACCGCCAAGGAAGCACACGAGATGATCTTGCTTGGGCGTTAAACGCCATCCGCTATTGATCACGTTAGGGCAATTATCATCGAAGAATGAGATATAGCCAACAGTTCCCCATTTTGAGTCCGCTCTGGGTTAAGTTCAGCGATGTAGAGAAGCTGGCTGGAAAGCCCTCGTTTTACCAGGTGTGTTTGGATACCTGTCATCGCAGTGTCATACATCTAAAACGTATCATGAATGATGTATGGACCAGACTGTCAAATACCTATACCTCGCGATATACAAGCTCCGTTTGGTTCTAAGGGAATCATCAGACTTTCCAACATCGACCTTTCCTGTATACTATACTTACAGTTTGCAAGTATTGTTTCCTGTGACTCAAAGATGAGAGCAGCGTTAAACTTAACATGATGTCGACTCACAGTAGATATTCGTAGTAAGAATCCCCGCGAGATCCGAGTCGGATCGGCGAAGTTTGGTAGCGACCCATTTTCGAGCTGGCATATGAGCTGTATGCTTGGCGATTTTATGAATTCAAGACTTACTCAACAAAGATGGGGACTAGCCCGCTCGTCATTGCGCTCGCCCTCAGGACGGCCATTACCTGAGACAATGTAAAATCTAGTGCAGAACCTCAAGTAAAATACTCACATTTTCAGCCTTTTCCCAATACGTATCCTCATCGGTAAGGTACGCCAGATAGCGGAACTCGAGTTGTAATGTTGAAGCTTCGGCCGTACTGATCATTCCACCAGTATCCCTATCTGGCACACCTTCTCGAAGCGCCAGATTGATTAGTGATAATGGAAGACCAGACTCTGTCTCAAAAACGGGCAGAATGCGGCTACCGAGTTCCTGAGCCTTCTCGAGAAACACGGTGTCATCCCCAGACAAATGGTACGCCGACAGTAAGCCTCCTAGGACTCTGATTGTGACCTGATGATCGAAAACACATCAAGTCGCCAATATGCTATGAAAGTATTTTCTACTCACCTCAAAGGTATTGAAATTACCATCCCGTTCGAATGAGAGCTTGTCTGCCACCCATGCCCTTGCACGCTGGTACTCATCCTCCAGCCCCATAATAATCATCGTGTCGATAGAATCTGCCACAGTATACCCAATACCCCCCGCTTTAGTTAGATTCGAGCCAGTATGCGCGATCGGATGGTACTCGTCATCACCCATAGCGTCTCTTTCTACTGAAATCAGTTGTTTGGCTCATAACTATATGAACTGCGCTATTACCGTATGCAAGCCACGCATGCTAAGGTCAGGTGTCAGTCCACGAAAGGCTGAGAAGATACATGCTTTCGTACTTTGAAGGCCTCTACCACTGCGTCTCGTCTTGCTTCGTCTGCGGTGAAGGTGGGGACATAATGCGTTCGAACTCCTGGTAGATGTCTGGTAGGTGCACCGAGGAGCGGGCTCTTCACTAGAGCCAGAAACTAGCAATGGGTAAGTAGAATCCACCGACTCTGAAAGCATTTTATACAGACATTGTAAAGTGCCAAAGCCAACACGGCGGCTAATAATATATACACTTTTGGAAATGCTGGACCGGACTTGGTTTCACTGCCCGTCTGCATGGTTGGTGCCAGTCATTAGCGTATCAGCCTGCCGAAACAACTGTCAAGTGCGCACATCGTGACCATTCGTGAACTCAGTAGCTGCTTTCTTCCTCTGTCTAACTCCTGGTTCTTCCATGACTGCAAGTGACAAAGTGATCTAAGCAAGCGTGGGCAACTGGTCAACTTCCTTTCGTACTTGCCTAGGCCCGGGGAAAACCGATATTATAGTTCTTAACGGCAACTTGACGGGCGTAGCTGGTCCGCAATGGCATGCCTGGACCGCGCCTCCCGTGACGCGCCGCCCGTGACACGGCTGTGACAAGAAATAACTCTATATATATCCTAATTTGTCCATCTGGACATATCATAATTACATAAATCCTTGGTTGCCCAGGCCCTCCCGCAGGTTTGAATGTATACACTCGTCCCTACTTTTGGTCCCGCTCCTAATACTTCACGTTCGGCACCGGTTCGGGCCGGGGACATGTTTGTAATGAAGATAAGGCCGGATCAACCTCTTTCTGCTCGACTTGACTTTGCATTCTCATATCTGATTTTGAACGCAACATGGCTATCGAACTAGCACCAATCGCCCTCCCCGCCACTGCCAGTCGTACTGATTTTGACCCCGATTTTGGCCGGGAAGTCAAGGGCGTGAAGCCTGGCGAACTAACTCCTGAGCAATTCAAGGAGATCGAGACAGCTTTGTACACTGTAGGTCTCGGATCTTCACCCGGCGCACTCAACTTATGTACTTCACAGCATGGAATTCTGCTATTCAGAGATGCTGCACTGACACCGGAACAACAGTATGCTCTAACGAAGGTAGGCGAATTCATTGACATAGCTTTCAACGCAGTTCTCAAGTTCAGATAGGCTTTTGATCCTGAGTCCGAATCATACGGACATGGTAACAACAAGACGCAGTCAACCAAGAAGTCTATCCTTCATCCAGATCTTAAGACGATTCCCCGGGTGCCCCAAGTTCAACTCATCGGCAACGGGATGGTTTACAACCATGAAGGCCTTGAATCTGCTGCTCTCAAGCACCCCTCGCATACAACCTTCCACAAGACCCGTGTCTCTCCTGAAAACGAGGCCCTGGGCATCACCAGATTCTATCGTTGGCACATAGATGCTGCGTTGTACGATTACAATCCACCTCGTGCGACTACCCTCTATGGCATCACTGTGCCTGGGGGTGATAGGCAGACTGTCAGGTACAGCGACGACGATGATCCATCCGGGGAGATCCTATCTGTGCCTCTCGGGACCACAGCTTTTGTGTCAGGAAAGAAGATGTTTCAGATCTTGCCGCCTGAGTTGAAGAGCCTTGCCGTTCGGACTTCTGTTCGGTACGCACCCCACCCTTACGTCTGGATGGCACCTGCCCGTGCGAAGTCGGACGGTCTAGGAATTGTGAACGAAGGTCTAGAATTGCCGCTGAGCGAACTTCCAGAGTGGGAGCAATCGAAAATTAAAACGCTGCCTATTGTACGTCCTACTTCCATTCCGCGGACATGAGTTTAAAAAAGCTGAGCACGCTTAGCTTTGGAAGAACCCTGTCACAGGCGAACTACACTTCCAAGTGCATCCTTGCGGTGCTCAAGAACTTATCGTGAAACCCTTACCGCTTGGCGCTTCCCGTGAGGGTGCTTTATACCCCGATGGAGAACATATCAAGGACCTTGGGAAGGTTCGCGAACTTCTGCACTCGATGCAGCGGCCCGGTATTGCCCCCGGGGTATTATTTTTGCTTTCTTTTTCTCTCTATGTGAACTGATACGACTGCTTAGTTGGTGTATCCACACGATTGGAAGGAACGTGATCTCGTCTTGTTCCACAACCGCGGTTTGCTTCACACCGTCGTCGGTGCTTTCAAGCCCGATCAAGTTCGCGCATTCCACCAGTGTAACCTCGCCGCGTCCGATGTTCCCGCTGGCCCCACAGAGCAGGATATTATTGCATGGGCTTGAAGTACGATCACATGTCTGAAACAGTCACTATTTGACCATTCGCGATCGGAAGCATATATATGCGACACTATGGAACTATACAATATCAATATCAGTGACGTTCACTTTGCCTCGATACTCGTGCATATGCATTTATCTCTTGTAATCAATGTACTCACGATGGACTACCTGGTCATCCTGTATCCAAACTATAGCGTTGTCCAAACAATTTGTACTACAACTATTCAGGTATCGCAAGAAGAACATGACCAAGACAGGGCAGGTGATGTGAACCGTACCCGCAATTAGGGCTATAGAGACCAGATAACTAAGTGTGTGAAGCTAAGCGGATCCAGAGGGCATAGAAGAGGAAATCAAGAACTGGTTCAATCGAACGCGGACAAAAACGCGAAGACAAGTTTTAACGACAAAGAGGATAAAGGGATACGAGATCAATATTAAATCAATTTTGTAAACGCAAAGCATCAATGAGAGACAGGCAACATGAAAGACACATACAAGACAACGACCGATGAGAATGATCAACATATAAGGCAATCAACGTTATCCACGGCGACGATTCATTGGACGAGGATGCGGGAATATCAACAATTGTCATTGGATTTAGGCTGCGCGGTTGGCGGAGAATGCGGAGTTGACTTGTGGGCTTCGTCAGAACCTTCACGAGACATGGATGAAGGCGAAGGACTGGAAGATGGTCCAGGTCCTGCAGAGACAGGTGTGCTATCTAGGTGTTCATCAGCAGGTACACTGTTACCGCGTGCCATGTCTTTCCTAGGCACCATGGGAGCGGAACTGAAAGCGTTGCGGAAGTTGTACATCGAGCGGAGGTCGCTGAGACTGTGTGTTGTCTGACGATGGTGACCCTCATCCTCAGAAACTTCTGTTTCCTCCTGTTCGTGATCTGTCTCCTCAGCCTCCTCACCCATTACAGTCCGGAGGGAGGAGACTGCGATGTTGGTATTGTTCATGAAGCCAGCGGCAGCCGGGCCGTGATAGGAAGATGTTAAAGAGGTAAGTGGAGGAAGAGAGTAGGTGCGTGGAAGAGTAAGAGGAGCGCTTCGGCTCGCCGCTCGTGAAGCAGCAAGACGTGCCGGATGGATCGGTGGGGTGGACGCAGCCGATTTAGTCTTACGTGCTGGGCGGACTGCTCTGCGGGTGCTGCTCGTCTTAGATGAAGAGGCGCGCTGAGCAGCTGCAGAGGGACTGCCGTCATCAGGAGTAGACTCTGCAGTGGTAGCTGGATGTACGGAATCGACGGAGGTCTGAGAAGAATTGTCACCCTTGTGGACACGTAGATGTTGAAGCAAATTATCATTCCGGTTGAAACGTTTGTCGCACGTGGGGTGAGGGCAGTCAAATGCTGATCGTGACGGATATTATTAACAAAGTCCGGAGATGCGATGATGCAACAAAGAGGCTCACGTTTTTCATGTGTATGAATAGATCGGATGTGCCGTTTGAGATGCTCTCCACGGCTGAAGCACTTGCCGCAGTCTTCCACTTTGCAGACATAAACGCGTCCCTTACGTCCCTCAGCTGCTTCTCCTTCTACTGCGGCATCGTCGCCGGCGGTAGGGACGCGGCGACCGCGACTCTTTTTTGTCAGGTTCGGAACGGGAATAGGGGGGGCCGTGCGTATCCTCGGTCCACGACGTTCAGAAGTAAATGAGGAAGAGGAAGCGTCAAGGAAAGTATATTCCCCGGGCATTGGGGTGCCACTGGGTTCGAATGGAGGCGTGACTTCCTTTAACTGAGGGGTATCCTCAACCATTGAACCGGGAGACGATTCCGGGATCAACACGGTAGGTTCCATCTTGAGAAGCTTCGATGGCACGTAAGTTGGGTCTTGATCTGCCTCGACGTCAGTTTCGTCGTCGACTGCTCGCGCGTCGAAGGATCGTTTGAGAGAAGCACTAGATCCTCTATATGGCGTGTCTGGGGGGTCACCTCTGCCGTGCTTTCCCCAACGAACGGTTGGACGACCTGTTGTTTGGGAACGCGTTACTCTTCGAGAATTCGGATTTGAATCGGTTGAAAGATGTTGAGAGTCCTGTAAGACATTATAATGGAATATAAAGAGTGGCGTTATCCTGGTAAATATTATAACGGAATATAAAGCAAAAAAAGATACTGACCAAATTATTAGGTTGATTAAGGTCTACTAGAGTGTCGTCGTCTGGTAAATGTGTTGATAGAGCTCCGGGAGATTGGTTGAATTGAGATTCAGGGCTTTCCATCGTTTTTGCGACGCCTGATGGGAGAATGAGAACAAGGGGCTTTTCGGAGACGACGACTGCTCACCTCTTCGACAAAGATTTATCCAATGCTGTTAAAGACTAATTCTACGGTATAAACCAGCGTTGAACTGTGTTTTCAAACCAACAAAATTTCCTTGCAAACGAACTCTGGCGTAGGGGATTTCGGACAGGGGTCCTTCGTTGTTTTTTTGCCAAACTACCCCGTTCACACGATCGAGCCCTATCCACGTGTTCAACCGTGACGGTCCATGGACCACTCGTATCATAGTCCAGGACCGTCATGATCACTACGGTGCACAGCGGGCGACGCTGTTAACGTCTATACTATATCGTTCTGCGTTAACTCTGCTTTGAGTTCAGTTATCTTCATACTAATACACTGGGAGGGTACTCGGTGTTAGCTCCCACTTTTACCAGATTTACCAATATAGGCATCCTCTGCTCTGCTGCAGGTGTATCGGGACCACTACTGCTGGGCACTTGAAGCGCCCGCTGACGCCTCCACAAGATCCACTCTCTATTTCCTGCCTTGTCTCAACAGTTGCCGAACTGAAGTAATAATTTGCCTTTACCGTCATGTGGCAGCTACCAGCTTCGTTTGGCACGCTCCTTCGTAGCTTTGGTTTCGGATAATCTTGGCCTAGATTGTATGTTCAAGAATGTACGTATTGTGACGATAATCTTGTTGACGCGACTCAGTCTCAAGGCGATGTATTTATTCCCAATTTCCGCACTCGCGTCTACAACGGGCTGTCCAAGTAAACGACATCGTCGCGATACTTTCCGTTCACTTACCGGTGCTTACTTCCCTGATTCTTTAAATCGCCGTTTTCCTTGTTTTTTACTATTAATAACGTTCTCATCCATAGCTCCACTGGCCGGATCCAACCTGAACAGCGTGTCTTGGTGTCTACAAATGAACAGTGCCTGTTGGCTTTCGCACATCCGCGGCATCGACTGATGGGATGTGTCAACCTTCCCATGGACGATGGGGCGTCATCTGCTACTAAGCACTGAAGCCACAAGCCATTAACTCATCTCAAGGCCACAGTGACGTTGCCTGCTTGTCAGTCACTTTTCTCGAATGCGTGCTTCACGATAAGGTTATCTCTTCGAGGCTATGCACGTACACTCGCTAGAATCGTTGTGTATGTTCTCCGCTGTTCCATATCCACACACTACTAATGTATGCATTTGCTAATGTCGCAATTCTCAAAGCATCACATCGTCGGGACCTGCCGACTGATTGTGAAGTCATGCGCTTCGGCATTGTCCTTATTTCCTCTCCGAGTCAATCCGCACAGTTATTATAGTCTTCCAAAGAACGTGTCGACTTGCCTAATGGCAATACGGCGATTTTGTGTTTTTGGAATATATTAGTAAGTTAAGGGAGCCTATTTACTGTTCGGGCGCTCATGTTACGCTGACTGAACATGAAGCAGGTTTCTGTATTTGGTGATTGTCAAGTATTGCCTTCGCTGCTTTGAAATTCATATCAATAATCAAGATGCAATTGGCTGTAATTGAATTTGAGACCGTCAGGACACGCAGCACACACTGACGGTCACGTCAATTTCGCAGTCAATCGGCACCTAAGCTACTTTTTGAATCCAGGGATTATTGCGACATCACCCTTGGATCAGTCACCGCACGGCATACTCATGCTTGCCACTGGCACAAATCCAGCAAGGCTAGCTATTGGATTAGCATGGTTCCCCCGGTCTTCAGTTCTAATTCCATTCGACAATGCTAATTACCTGTCAGTTCGCACAGGTTTCCGCTTAATAATCGTTGGCGCTCCGTCCCAACTATAGCGCCACCACTCTTAGCCTGTTGAATCGGACGTAACTCGGATCTATGTTGGACAAGCGTTAGACAGCTGCGGTGCTTGTAGACCGCGCAGATGCAATCATCACATCCGCAGACAAGGTCAGGGTCGTCTATTACTGATCTTTGGTGTATTAAAATGAAAGTTGCCGACTGTCGCTCCAGATCAAGTTGTATGCTCATTCGAATTTTAATTAATTTTATGGCTATCTGATGGGGCCTTGTCCGCTTACGTCCCGTGCACACTCGCTCCCGCCAAGATGGCTAGTCAGAAAATGATTTGCCGAATTTAGCTATCTGGCGGGCATTTCCATAACGCCCCTGCTCTATGGAGATAGAACAGGCGCTTTAGATTCGAGTATCAACCGCAAAAAGGAAGGTTGAGCGGCATTGTTGATTCTTGGCAAGTCTCTATCCAGGATCACAATGGCGTGCACACGCCTGCCAACCGACCTCTTCATAAATGAAACCATCGATTAAAAACGATATGCGGCGCGATACGAATGTGATTCCCAGGGATGTAGTCGTTCATGTCAAGTGCCATGAATAGATTCTGGTCTAATTTCCCGTAGAAGCCAATAAATAGATGATACACACCGCAATCAGGGTGGCTGGGGTGATTGAGAAGTGCGTGATTGGAAAGGGATGGTGAGGTCTACGGCAACGCAGTATGAATTTAGAAGGTAAGTAGCACGGTTGGTGTGGGGACCTGCGGGAGTGGATTTCCGATCCATAGATATGAAAGTGCGAGGTGAAACTCTCAGGGAGCTTCTCGAGGAATTCTTGATTTACGTCGCTTTGCCACCCCTGGCGCGACTGACATGCGGTGACAGGATGGAGCGGAAGCCTTTCCTGGGTAACGGACTGATTAGCTACCGTAAAGAGGTTTTATGCTGCAGGGAGGAGTAAAATATCAGGCTGCAGGGAGCCGAGTGCCTCGCGTTGGGAAATGAGTGGTGTAGACGACAGATAGATCAAAGAAGGTAGCTTAGGCACAACTATGTACCTAAACTAACGATATCTCTGTGAGTATAGAAGGCAGCTCACGAGATCCCTACCTGTGCAAAATAAAGCACGAAGAATACTCTGACGTAGAGATGCTCTTCGAGAGGGCTAAAAGGGTAGAACATCCGTGTGATTTGCAAACCCGTTACGATGATGATAACGTAGATGAACGTTCACGGCTTGAGATCAGCTGCTGTTAGATCGGAGCTTCCGTACAAACCTTAGATCAGGCTCTAGCCTGAGATGGTACTAGCTGCTGCCTGCCGGTGCTTGAGAACCATAGCTCTCCAAAAGAGCAAAGATTGTCGAAAAGTGTTCAGTAGCCTCGTGCTATGACCACCGAGCATGACTCGGATAATGTGGCTATACTTTTCGATTGAAAAGGACCTCGTCCAGAGGATAGCCATTAAGGAAAGCTGGTACCGAAAGATCCCCATCGAAGAACTGGCAATCCGGCAAAGTAGGATCAACAATAGTACACAGGTAAGGCTTCTCTATGATCGCAAATGAGTTTCGCTAAATCGTTCTCTTGACTCCGTATCACTACCAGGTTCGTCGGCGGTGCAAGGTTTCTTTATGCTGTACTAAGTGGCACTAAGGTTGCAGTACTAGATTCTCGGTTTATCATCTGCTCTCGTTTCGCAGGCTGTCCCTCCTTCACCTTCACCTTCACCTTCAAGTTCATCGCCGCTCAGAAACTGCGGTACTCATTGACAGAAGTTGACTCTTTTATTGTTCTCCATCGCTTCTAACAGAAACATCAATTTGACGAACACTCACGATTTTTGAACACGACGTGACTCATTTGAAGAGCAGTGCACTCTGGCAGCAATTTGCTCCACAGCCCTCGATCGCATTTCCATACAACTTTCTAGGCCTCGGTGTCCCGCCGTCGACCAACGCGCTCCCCGCGATTGTTCCATTCTCAGATCTTTTTCCCCCTCAATTGTAAATTACATTCACAGCCACACGATCACATCCGCTTAAGGTACCTGAACGCGACCGCTTGCCTTGTGCGCGAACCTGGCGATTGTCCTTGGTATGACCAATAATTTCCAACTCAAATCAATTCCCTTATTTTAGTGTCCTCAGATAAATCTGGGCTTATATTCACTCCAGACAAGGCAAGACCGTATTACAACTCTGTCCTTAAATTCAAATGGACTCGAATATTCGTCCCTCTTATTTCGACTCTGCTCCTTATCCTTTCCCCCATCAGCCAGCCCCACGACAACAGTCTGGACGTTCGGCGGCTGTCAACATGACAAGCTCCCCGTATTTCGCTCGCACGCATTCACATTCTAGTTCTAGTCCTAGTCTTGGCCATTTCTCCCCCTCTATTCGTTTCAATTCATACTACTCTCTCGCACAGCAGTCGCCATATCCCCAGCCACTCCCAGACTATAGCCCATTCCCGTCGGACAGTTCAGCCGCTTCCGCTGAATCTCCGCTCTCTTCATCCTCGGCCAACGAGAGCCCGCTTCCCGAACCTCCCATTGATTCGATGGAGAACGACACATCGCATGTTGTTGGTGATGATTATTATCCCTACATCATGACCGATGACCTGGTCGCTACTGGATACTTGTTCCCGCACGCTCCACGGGCATTCCTATCGGGGTATGTGGCCGAGAACCCAGAGGTGTATAAGCAGCCTGTCGCAGCGCCACTGCCCATGCCCTTGTCAGTCGCAATGGGGTATTCTTATTCACCTGAAGCGAAGAAATTTCAACCGTTGTGTCCTCCACCGCAGCAGGAAACGGATCCTCAGCAATACAGCAACTCCTTGTATGGTTCTCCTCCTACACCTGCAGCTCATCTCACCCATCCTGTGGGGAGCGATGCACACTCTTATCCACAGGATTTTGATGCTGCATACCAGCCGCAGGCGGCCACAAGCTCTTATCATGCTTTCCCGGCTTCGGTCCCCCCAGCTTCGCATGCCTGCTACCAGCAGCCTCGTCAGAACATCAAAGTAGAAAGCATTACCGACCTTGTAGCTTCTTATAGCCCACCAGCTGATATCTCCAACTCGCCCACCAGCTTGACAATCTATGATGGTCTTTTTGAGACAGGTGCGTACTCGTCGAATGTTTGGACCCCTGTACCTGACGTCCTCAGCATCAGGTTCACCCCCAATTGGGCAGCATAACACTGGTATATCGGAACTGGTAATGCGCTATATACCAAGCCAAAGCAATTCGTTGTCATCGATGAGCATGCCTGTACTGCCTGCACCTGTTCCGCGACAAGCGTATCTTGGATCATCCATTGTCAGCGATTGTGAGCGCACGTGCCAGGAACAGGAACAGCAACGACAGGCTTTGAGAGTTCAGACACAGGGTTTGCAGGAGCAGAGAACTGTGCGACCTGCAGAGGTATCACCCGTGATGGGGTTCACGGATCTACCGGAACCTGAGGATGAGGATGCTGAAGGCGAGCCAGACATTGCAGCTTTTAATCACCATGGGTCCAGCTCCAATGGTGGACATAGTTCAGGGAAGCGTCACTTCATGCCACAGGGCTTCATGCAACAGTCTGGTGAGACTTTCCTTGTCGAGAGAGACGATGATTTCAGTTTGGACGACGAAGAAGACGCAGACGGTGTTGATGAAGTTGGCCTTGACAACGACGATGATTACGGCGCGGAAGAAGTACAGGATGATGATGGAGACGGCGACTTCGTACCCCACATGCGAACAACGTCAAAGAACACGCGAAGCTTACGTTCTCGATCTTTTTCCGGCAGGAATTCGGCGCGGTACCATCCCTATGGCTCAGGACTCCCACAGCCTGCACCAAAGCGTGCTGCGAAGTCACCTCTTATTGCTGCCTCCACTTTGACGCCAGGCTTGTCATCTCAGGTAGGAAAGTCTCGCAAGAACGCACGGTCCCTCCCTGTTCCCGTTCCAGTCCCTAACCTCACGAAGAAGTCGAGGGGTCGTCGCGTGCCGACTGTGAATAATACCGGCGGCAGCGGTCGGGCCCGAGGTTATAGTGACCCCCTCGGAAGTCGGATCTATTTGTGTGACATTAGCGGTTGTGGCAAGTGTTTCGCAAGAGGAGAGCACCTGAAACGACACATCAGGAGCATCCACACCAATGAAAAGCGTAAGTTAAAATTTTCTACCGTCTATTCCATCGTTCTTATCAACAACGGCAGCGCATAGATGTCCATACCCTGGTTGTGGAAAGGAGTTCAGTCGGCACGATAACCTAGGCCAGCACATGAAAGTCCATAAGGATCTTCCCAAGTTGATGGAGAGGATGGGTATGGTGGATGACATTTAATTACATCCACCGTGATTTCGACAACGGCTTCAGGTTTGTCGTTGGTTCGGAATCCCGGATGCGCAGGACTTACGCGTTCTTCGTGTATTCTTCTGCGGTGTAGTCGGCTTTTCGCCAGGTCTGGCCATTGCGTTATTGTTCTTCGACCCACCCTTTCTCTTTCTCTTACTCGCTCTACGACTCTTTTTCCATCTCTCGATCCTGACTCATCTCCTGCACCCGAAACTCATTTGATGACCCTCATTTTCTTGTTCCTTCCATGTTTGCATTGACCGGCTCCATGTCACAATGCGTCCTCATTGCCGCACGTCGTCCTGGTTAGCTTATGTCTGTTATTCGCTTCTCTGTCATGTCATCGCCACTTTCAAAGCACCTACATTCTCGTGACTCTCGCCCCGCTCCTTCGCATCATCTCCATGTCGACGGCTAGTATGTCGCTATCGTCGCCACACGCTCTCGCCTCTCAGTTACCCGGAGCTCTTGTTCTATCCGTAGAGCAGTCTTTGTTCGCCACAGAAGACTGCGCCCACTATGCCGCCGATTACATGCAATCCTTGACGAACGTTTTCTTGACATCCGACGCTGCCACGAAAATTCAATGCCCCATGCCAATCCTGTTGTATCTTATCCCTGCATTCCATCGCCACGCTGTATCCTTATCACTCATCGCTTGCACTATCATGGACAGCATTTTTATTTACCTCTCATCATTCTCAGTCGTATCCTAACGCCAGTCTGCGTATGTAGCCATACGTTATGGTTGTAAAGTATTTTACTCGGGTGTTTATTTTGGGGATTTGTTTTACGGGTTTTATTATTTTCTTAGTCTTCTTTGGGGAATTATAGGCCCTATGATTAAGGCTATGTAGCCACGAGTGGACAATAAATGCATGTGTTTTTATGTGCCATCAATTCAAGCTGCGCCGTCCGGCAGCCTGTTAGCTTCTTGGCGTCTCTCAAGCTTTACGGCTCCCGATCGTGGTTCGCAGTGGGGACCAGGGCCGCGTCACAAGGATTCATAGAATAGACATAACTCAGCGGCGTATTACATATCAACCGGTAGCTGTAGAATTACACGAGGGATTCTAATGAACATACTAGCACAGCTGTTTATATTACGAATAAGAGGGCGCCTTTCTTGGTTAGAAAATGACTCACAGGACGAAATTCGTGAATGTTCCAGACAGAGAACGATCGCAATATATTACTAAACAATTGGGAGTTAATAGATAATAACCAGCCAGAGCCGGTATAACAGTATACAACTCGAGAAAATAGGAAGAAATGACAACCATCAGGGAAGAGAGCTATGCATCATCTGTCATGATGGCGAAAAACTCTTGTTCGTTAATCTCTCCATCCTGGTCGAGGTCAAATTCATCTATCATTGCTTGCCTGCGAAATGGAAGAACAAGGGGTGAGCAAATTAGGAACACCACGAACGAAAAAAATCAGTCACTGCCAAACGGCGGTGAAGAAAAAGCGGAAATGCAAAAGAAGGGAGCTGATGCAGTAACGAGCACGAAAAAGGGTTACTGGGACGAAGTGCCTACGTGCCTCTCGCAGACCTTGCACCCCAAAACGAGAATGAATGGGGTTTACTCACAATTCATCATCTTCCAATCGGTCACCGATCTCTTTTGCGACACGTCGAAGATTCCGTAGACTAATTTTTCCTGTGTTGTCATCATCGAACAATTGGAAGGCTCGGCGGATTTCATCCATCGGATCTCGCGCCAGGATCCGTTCGCTCACTAGGAAAACAACGTTAGCAAAAAGGGCGCGCAATCACGAGAGAAGGCGCTGTAGGCGTGAGATATCCGATTTTATGGAGATCCAATCATGTAAACATGAGACGCGTGTTGGGGATCTGGCGCGGACTCATCGCTTGAGTAGAATTAATGGAGCTGAACTACTCAACTGATTTTTGCAAAATCCTCAAAGTCGATTAGACCATGACCGCTCTTGTCATGGTCTCGTAGTATCTTCAATACCTCTGCTTTCTTCATGTCAAAGCCGAGGGCGCGCATCGCGACCTTGAGCTCGTGATAATCCAGCGAGCCATCCTTGTCCGTGTCAAACAGTTCAAAGGCCTCTTTTATCTCTTGTTTTTGTTCATCGGTAAGCTCGGGACGTGTATGCGTGCGTCTCTTGGCTTTTTGCGCGGAAGCAGAATACATGGCGAGCGGATTGAGTGTGATGTTTAGCTCAAGCAGTTTAGTGGTGGCAGAATTGACGTTTGTTTGACGCCGACGCGTCTGGGACCCCTTGCACCACTACTATAAATGCCAGCGCGATTCGCGTCCGAGTCGAGTCACTCAACCTTTTGTCGTTCTTCGAGAACCATCGGGAGTCATTACGACGACAGAGTCACTATAAGTTCTTGAGGTACCGCTAACACGCCTATAACAACACAGAAATTTTCAGTAGAGCTATCCAGAAGATGACTTACTGTTCTCGCTGTAACCGCTCTTTCAACTCCTGGCCTGCTTACTACCAGCATCTCAGAGACTCCCCCAATCATTGGGAGTGTCAACCTTGTCAACAAGACTTTGAGTCTCGACTAGGACTCAAAGAGCATTACGTTCAGAGCCCCCGTCATCACTACTGCCAGTATTGCAACATCCATTTCGACTGCTCGTCGGAGCTACAGGATCATTACGAATACGAGCACGCCTACTGTAGCTCTTGTCACAAAGTCTTCAAGAACGAATTAGGCTTGCACGAGCATAACCGGCAGAGTCACGCCGACGTGTATTGTGTTCTGTGCAAAAGACTCTTCCAGACTCCGAGCAACCTTCAGTCTGTAAGTTTTACTCCGTTCTTGGACCTGCACAAAACCTAACTTAGACGAACTAGCATTTGAACTCTAGTATACACCGCCCTAAAGACACTATCTGCCCCTTCAACGGATGTGGCTTGGGGTTCATCAACAAGTCTGCACTCATTCTCCATCTTGAATCTGGCTCATGTCGATCGGGCGTCAACCGACGCGTCGTTGACAACTGGGTCCGCGCCAATGATCGCTCTAACGCGATTACCAACCCAGCGCGACTCATCACTGCTGGCGAACGTGCCAACATTAAGCTTATCGCCACAGAGCAGTCGTGGAACGGGCAGGCTTATGAATGTGTTCTTTGTCACACGCAGTACCGGGCGTTGATGGACTTGAACCGTCACTTGGATAGCCCTCGCCACCAGGAGAAGGTCTATCGGTGCCCTCTCGATACCTGCCGGAAGCATTTCGTCACCCTTAGTGCGTTGTGCCAGCACATTGAGAGTGAGCGTTGCGGTGTGATGAAGTTCAGGGCAGTCCGAGACGTCATGGACAATCTCCTCAACGGCGTCGCCCGCATGACATTGTAACATGGTAAGTTCTACGTGACCATTGAAGGTCTACAGGCTATAACCGGATACTTCGTATCTAGCCCTCGTGTTGTCTGCGTTCCTTCACATGCCATATCCACATGGTTTCATCACAGATAATCACTTTCTATTCTTCTACTATACTTTTTTTTCATTTCTCAACCGGCATTACCGCCTTACCTATTGCAAATCACTATCTGCGTACCTTTACATCCTTTTTGATAAACCAATTATGATAGTTTTGCCTGGTCTGGCCAAAGCAGGTTTCTTGGTCTCCCTCAGTTGTACATGGTAGTCATATCTTACATACGTCCTTACTTTCCGCGTTTCAATTGCGCCGTATTGTGAATCAAATCGAAGTTGATAAGTGGTCTCGTAATCCCGTCTCTGACTCCATCCTCACTGTGCAAGCGGAGGCAAATACTTTAAATGGGACCGCAATCATCCAACCAGCGTGAATTGTAAATGTTTGCTCTCATGCTTCACCCCTTCATTACCCTGCCCCTTATTGTGCTATTCATTTGCGAGGAAGTCATCGCCAACACGGAAATTATCAACTTCCTTGCCGCTGAGGAAAGCAATGTCGACTTCTCGTCTACCACGGTTGACAGTTGGTAAGTTCGAACACGATGCTTGGAGCAGCTCCTGGTGTCTTGACGCAGTCCTGCGTGCAGGCCAGTTTTGAATTACAAAAATAATCAGGGGTATTGGAACGTAGATCCCCCTCTACTCGACACGCCTTTGCAGCAGGTATGCGAGTCAGAGACAGGCATTGATCCGGCGAACCCCTTCTCATGCCTTCATGAGCTCTGGGTAGCGCTAGATCTCGATGATGAAAACTGGATGTCCTATTCAAAGTTTACGCTACGTCTATCCTGGCCTGCTTCCGTACGTCGCACGCTTTTTCATTCCAATCCCAATCCCAATTCACATTCGTCAACCATACGTCGCTATTACAGTCCCCCGCGGATTTTTTGCTTGAAATCCACAGTCCTCAGGCGATCTTGACCCGTTTGTCTAGACTACCGCAACAGTCAGCGATAGACGGTGCTTCCATCACTACGCCGCATTTATCGCGCACGGGTTTATCCACTACTCGCCTCAAGTACGCCAGGATACGAGTCGTTGATACTGGCATACGCACACCCACACGCACACCTGATCTCCCTGTTTCGGCTGCTCGACCGATATCATTCATTCTCGTTCTCGAACAACTCTATCTTGGCGTTATACCGGCTTCTCTCGTTCCTGCTGCGTGTTTCCTTATCCCCGTTCTGGCCTGTGCGGCTCTAGCCACACCGTGGATACTTGGTTATCTCGATCATTTCATAAAGGAGGCTAGACAGGAATTGCGCGATTTTAGCACAGTTGAGGAAAAGAAGGAACACTGAGATGTGTTAGTCGTGCGGTATACATGCATTTTTCTCGATGCTGTGGCGTTTCATCTCGACCGTGGGCGATCCAGCACTCGTGATACAAACACTGTCATTTTACGCGCGTCAAAGAGAATCCATTTCATACTAATAGATCGAGTTAGCATCTCGGTAGACTACGGCGTGTGCCTGACCAAGAAATACACCGTCTCTCCATCAAAACCAAGACTCCGCCACAGGTGTGATTGATATCAAGCAACGCTCTCCAATTCAACAAGATGAACGGCTGCAAACCACGCAAGGATGATTTCCACCCGTGGGCCGTGCAGCGGTATGTTGAAATTTAACGGCTTCTTTTTGTTCCCAGCTTTGACTTTCTCCGCTGCTGCCTTCTCAGCACGTTCCTTTTGCCTTGCAGCTACAGGAACAAGCAAAATTCTGGCACAATCCAATGCCTCTAGAAGATCCTCACGACTCCCACTGAATGTACTAGAAGGGGTATTTCGTCCGTTGGTGGGCAATGAGGAACCCGACGGGATTTGACATGTGTTTGAAAAAGATGTGAAAGCAGAATAGAATTCAGCGTCTGCAGAAGACGTGGACATAGTATCGGTCGAAGACATCGGCGGTGAAGGGGGCGGTGGAGGCTCAATTACAAGCCGGTTTGTCGCCTTCTTACCCTGTATGTATGAATGAGGTTGTACACCGGGCATCCACCCACTAGCAAGGCGTTCGAGGACCTCGATAAACTCGGCTTGAGCCATCGAACGTGGAGGTAGAAACACAGGGTATCCCTCCAGCCCGTCTACAACAACTGCAGTCCGCGAGAAAGTGGCAAGGAGAGTGGGTAACTCGGCGAGCATAAGTTGGCAAATAAGGATACTGAAGTGGGACTCCACGAGTAGGGGATGATAGGTGGTGAACGTTGGCGGGAGAATGGAGTCGACATGTGCGAGGCCAGTGGCGGTTGACGTATGAATATTTGGGCGCACCAGCTCAGTTAAAAGGAAGGCAACCTCCACCCTTTTGGCCAGATCTGCTTGCATTGGCGCAGGACCTTCTAGAGTGTCAAAATGAGAGAGGAAGCGTTCATGATCACGCAAACTCTTCTTCAGGAGGGAGTGAATATTTTCACGAAACCCGTCGTTTGCCAGAACTTGCCGGTACGCCTGGGCTTTGGGGCCATCACTGCGTCCCAGCGGTCCGTCAGGATTCCCCATCTCGACTCCCCCGTAGCGGCCATTAGAGAGGTAGCAAAGGCGCATCTCAGCTCCATCAAGGGATGAATTGACCTTGCTGACCCCCTCGAGCCGCAATATTGCAGATTCAATGAGGTACACGGCATGCTGCAAATACGCTGCCCCCCTCAAAAATAATAACTGTGGTTCGATAGGGTCTGGTGCATCTGGCAAAACCGAAGGATGTAAGAGTAATGGCTCCCCATTTATTCCTTCGATATTAGTCCCATTCGCAGCGGCACTAGTACCACTAGGGGGCGCCTGTCCGTGAATTTTATTGGAGCTCTTTTTCTTTTTAGTAGCTTTCCCTCGAAGCTCGCGGGAAGATATTAAATCTTGATGTGCGGTACGCGCTTTTCTCGCCGCACGGGACTCTCGTAGCGCATGAGTAAAGTCTTTTGTCGCCAAAGAATACTCGTCGCGGAAACAGTGAACTATTCCACGCGTCCGATGATATTCCAGGCGCTGAGGATAGGCTACAATCAATTCATCAAGCACTTGCGTTGATGTGGAGTCCGCAAGTTGCCTATTAGAACTGAATTTAAAAAGTCAGGTAAAGAATTATATACGCGTTGCACGAACCGGGAGGGGATTTTTTCATGGAAGAAATGAACATATCGTGCATCAGCGTCGTTAGGATCTGCGTGTGAGTCGCATCATTAGCGCTGCGCCCCAATGAAAAAATTGATGGGGCCTCCTGAACATACCACACTTGAGAACTTTCTCAGCGATATCATCAAATACACTTCCTCCTTGCATCACCATGACGCTACTGGCAATTTCATCCGCCTTATAAGCGGCCGCAAGCTTCTGAACAGCGAGGGCTCTAAGCCTATGTATGCGCATTGCGCTCATAGCGACATTCCTGCCACCGCCGATGTTATTGGAGCCGTCAAAGCCCAGCCCTTGAGCCGCAGCCCAGGAATTATTGATTGGTGTACGTATAGAGCCAGCAGCAACAGCCGAGAGACCAGAGGATGCGCGTACGGAAAGTTCAGAAGCCTCATCGATGAGCCTCCGAATCGCTGCAACGTTCCGAAAAACGCCAGGGTCAATGGGTGGCGGAGTAGCTTTACCCGGGGCAGGCAGGGGAAACGCAACTGACTGTGAGGTCGGAATATACGGCGTTGGTAGTGTGGTCAAAGTGTTGCCTGGTGATTCCGGAGGAGTATTATCCTTGAGTGAATACAATATGCGGTCGCGGTCGCGAGGACGTGGCGCCGGTCGTGACTGGATGTTTCCGAGTGAAGTCTGGGACGAATAAGCAAGAGCGGGTAGCTGCGTTTCCGACGAAGACAGGGTGGCAGGGTCAAGATTGAGGACAAGCAACGATTCCAGCAATTCCAATGGAAGTTGCAGCCACGGGCCCTGGTATAGTACGCGAAGGATCAGTTCCGCAGCTTCAATGAGATAGAGAGCACAGTTACGTGGTAAGAGCTGATATATTTCCAATGCTTGTTTCTACTAATACAAAGCACGGAAGCACGCTCAAAGTCAGGTGAAGGGGATGCCCGTGATTTTGCCGGAGGATCAATAGCTTCACGAGTCTTTGGCTTCTTTGATTTTTTCTTCTTCTTTTTCTTTTGGCTCGCCTCCGAAGGTAAAAGGTCGCATGTGGATGAAAGTCCAATGGAGGAATTAGTAGTAGCCGAGGACGTTATGACCTGGGTAGTGAACTCTATGGACTCGACTTGCACGCCATGTAACGGTGTGGTATCGTCCTGGGAAATGAAATCCATTTCCGACGACAAAGGGCCCTGCTTCGACATCGTCTGCGACGGTCAGGATGAACTTGGAAACTAGATGGAACAAGTAGCCTGTCGCTAGTCAGCTCTCTTTTCACCAACTTAATCAAGAATTAGGAATCCTTTCTTTGGACAATATTTCTCACGGTCTTGATCAACTACGTTCACTTGGTACTTGCGATTTGCTCATCGAATGCAAGCTTAAACGCTTGCGCTTATTCCTTGCATCATGCACTCAACAGTGGGCCAAGATAGATACACAGAAACGGCTCCGACTTCAAGCTTCAGCTTCAAAATCACATCATCTCAGACAAATCTCACATGCAGGTTCGGGTATTCGACATGTAAACAATCCTTCGAAAGGTTAAGTTGGCGTGTAGGAATGATTGTTGACTTTGTTCGACTTCTAAAAACAAACGATCCCACTTCCTTCTGTCCCCTGCCACAAGGAACGTGCATCAACGATCCCGCAGAATCTCGCAAATCTCACCAATGGATTCATGGCGGTGTGAAGGCACGACGGGCATTTTTTCCACCTATGACTATCTGATATTATCGTCGATATCGGGCGTCCCTCTTCATGCTTGGTCTTGAATAAGACTGCGAGGGTTTGACGGGAAATGGAATGGAATGATAAGGGTCAGGACGAGACACGGAGAAACTTCGATGGACTTGGGTAGCTAAATGGAATATGCGAGAAGTGTTAAATACTGAGGGGGATTAATCAGTGACTGGCTCTACGAAAGTTACCTGGAGTTCTCAAAACGGGTGGCGTGAAGGATGGGCAAAACAGAAAGGAGGATATAAGTGAATTCGTGAAAGGACACCGAAACGAGAAGCGGTGCATACGATTGTCATCATTCAAGTTGTTGAAGTGATGAGTTCGTCCAACGGTCAGGGTGAATGCGAAGCCTTCCTTACATTCTTGCATTTCAACAGAGACGTCGCCAGCCGCCGCTTGCGTCGGCTGGCAGTGCTCTCGTAGTAGGGACTACGTACGTATATAGAGCCCCACGTGTACTTGTGTAACTCCCTCTTGAAGTTAAGTCTCTTTTTGAAACGTACTAGGCTCAGGGAGTCGTCGGGTAGGATAGGCGTCGCCAGTCAAGTAATGACATAACAAGCCAGGATCGCTAAACTGATGAGCGCCAAAAGATTGTGAATGGTCTGTTAAGCCCTGGTGGGACATGGAGCAGTCCTAAGGCCTAAACGTTAAACCTCAGCAGCCTTTGGTTTAAAACTCTTCCAGAGAGTACCGGTGATAATCAGATCAAGAGTAGCGCAGCGTAAATGCGATCCTAATTTGGTATATTACGTCATCGTCGATATACGTTGAACAATTGAATTGAGCACGCCAAGTCGCGTAAACATTCTGGCTTTATTTTGTGTGCCGAGCATGCGGCTCCAACTCACCGCGGAAGCTCTCAAGGTAATCGAAGAGATAGAAGGCATTATCCACTTCCGCTATACACGGAAGATTGTTGCTCATAACAGGTTTCAAGATAACAAGAAGTCACGTTCTCGAGCGCGGGTTTCACCACAGCAACTTGGCGTGGATTCGCCCCTGCCAGTGTTTCTTGCTCAGCATCGCCATCTAACTGATTCGCGCTGCCGTCGGTTTAGTCCTCGTCGTAATCGTTCCGTTTGAGAGTCCCGGCCACACATGTGTACCCAGCTGATTATGACACGGAGCGCCATCAACCGGGTCCTGTAAAAATGTCGAACGTAAAGATGGGGAATTGAGCGGCTTCCGCATGCTACGGCACTCACATGACACCCGGGCCAATCTTTGAGGCTTTGACAAGCCCATCAGAATGCCCCTGGGCATGTTAGAACAAAGCCTTACCTTGTGGTCCTCTGTGTTGGCAAGCTTTTCCTTACACCAGATACCTTGGTTATTATAACCGTGTAGGCATCAATTCCGTGGCGTCTCACGCCCGAACCTCGTCTCGCATGTGATTCAGTCAAGCTCACGGATTGGGAAACCGGGATACCAACATATATCTTCCTATACTTCTCTAGGTCCATGTCCGAGTTCTTCTTCAGGATATCCACTATCTTAGCACCGCTCACGAGACCTACTTTCGTTCCTGCTTGATAGCTCTTATCCGAGGCAACCAGTTCTTCAACAGTGTCATTCTTTGAACCTGGTAGTCATGAATGAGCTTGGGTGTTCAGATGAGTCGCTCGGTGTTCAGACTAGGATGAGTATAATGAGTTTTCACGGTAATCCGGCTTAGTGTCTTCTCTGAACCCACACTCTCGCCACTAGTTCGCCTTATCAAAATGTTCTCAGTCATATCTTATCTAAGACTACTTGCAGGTTGCATCGTGCCCATTTACTCTCGTATTTATGATAAGCACTTATAACCTAATAATTACAGTTTTTTTTATTACTGACCTATAAGAAGGGCACAGTTTGACCCCCAGTAGCCTATCAGCCTCAATACTTCCGTGTTCTCTCCTCAATATGGCTCCTTCAGCCTCTCCTGCAACCGCTACGACGGTATACACTCCCGTGACAACAAAGTCTACAAAGTTTAAACACCCCCTAGACCCTCTGACCCCAGATGAGGTACTGATTGATTGGCTTTCTGCCTTCAACGTGTCCTCATTCCCTCTTCTAGATCAATGCAGTGTCTTTGGCGATCCGGCTTTACACTACCGCAAATACACCAATCAAGGCCGTCCGCTTCATCACTTGCACTCTTGTCCCTCCTCCGAAGAGAGCCGTCCTTGCGGCACTAGCAATCCCTCTGACTCCGGGCGCCCAGCCCGAAGCGCCCACTCCGATCGTCAGGAAAGCCGAAAGTGATGTACGTAATAAAAATGCATTTAACGTTCTACTCCTTTTTTTTCTAACTGGCGACGGGCCTATCACCTAGTTCTTGGACGTCGTCAACGGGTTAGTGATTTGGTACAATAATCGTGATCACACGACAACTCATCGTAATATAGGGGTACATATAACGCTATCCTGTCTCTTGAAGATGGCACGTGGAACGTCGATACCTGCGGGTTAGTCGCAGAGGGCGCAGAACCTCAAATTTCTCCAGAGGAGCTTGCCTTCTGCGAGCATGTTGTGCGCAGAGATCCCACAGTTCAAGCACTTGCGAGAGAAGTCGGTAAGTGCTGACTCGCTGTGACTTGGGATCCTACTCACTGTCTCATAGGAGTGGAACCCGACCAAATCTATGCTGACGGTTGGGCTATCGGCTATGATGACCGCTTCCCAAAACATACTCGCTTGCAACAAGCTTTCGTCTTCGCTCGTTATTCTGAGCATGAGAACCTTTATGCCCACCCATTGGTTGGTTTTTTTATTCACTTGCTGAATTTGTCGACTTAACATATGTGACTACAGGATTTCGTTGTAGTCATCGACTCCCTCGCAGAGAAGGTTATCCAGATTGACTTCCCACCAACTTACAAGAAGGCCAAGGATGGTTCGGTAGAGTTGGGTGTCTCGAGTACAGAGCCGTGCCCATTGTCCGAAGACTCTTTCACCGAGTCAAAACGAGAGCGCATTCCACCCCCTGTCCGGTCTTTTGATTTCCTCCCGGATCTCCTCCAGGCGGACCCGACTCACAAGCCTCGTGATGATATCAAGCCTCTTCACGTTCTCCAGCCCGAGGGCGTGTCATTCAAGATGGATGGCAATGTGCTCGAGTGGCAAAAGTGGAAGATGCACATCGGTTCGTCATTTGTAATACTCAGCCTTGTTGTTTATCTGAGATGACATTCATGCAGGATTCAGTCATCGTGAGGGTATCGCGCTTTCGACCATTACCTACAACGACGACGGCGAAATCCGTCCCGTCATGTATCGTCTGTCGCTTGCAGAGATGGTTGTTCCATATGGCGCACCAGAATTCCCTCATCCTCGCAAATTCGCCTTCGACAGGTGAGCAGTCTCTCGAACAATTGTTGATGGGTGTCTCAAATTATTCTAGTGGTGAATATGGCATGGGGACGATGGCAAACGAGCTTTCCTTGGGCTGTGACTGCCTTGGACAGATTCACTACCTCGTACGTATCCATAGGTATTACTTCATGTGATGATGTCTTACCGATCCTCCTCCAGCCTGGCGCGTATGTCACGCATTCCGGGACTCCGTTTATAATCAAGAATGCGATTTGTATTCACGAAGAAGATGCTGGTGTTCTTTGGAAGCACACTGACTATCGTCCCGGTGGCCGCCATCAGACAGTTCGCAGCAGGCGTCTTGTTGTCAGCATGGTCTGCACCCTTGCAAATTACGGTATGTTGACTGGGACACAAATCTGGCTTGTGGTGGCTGAGGTTTCCATTGCAATCAGAGTACATCTGGAACTATCATTTCTATCAAGACGGTAACATTGAAATTGAGATCCGTCTTACCGGAATTCTGCAGGTGTATGTCGCTGCTCAAGACGAACCCAACCCTTACGGTACGACTATCGCTCCGAGTATCAACGCGCACAACCACCAGCACCTGTTCTCCGTTCGGGTCGACCCGATGATCGATGGCCTCTACAACTCGGTCGTCGAGTCCGACATCGTCCCTCTCAGCGCCCCCACTGGCTCGAAAGAGAACTTCGCAGGCAACGGTTTCGTTGTGAAGGACAAGGTGCTCAAGTCTCAAGTGCAAGACGGCGCGCGCGACTTCGACTGGGCCCGTGAACGTCGCTGGCGCATCACCAACCAGGCGAGGACGCATGAGTCATCAGGCAAGGATGCAAGTTATGCTATCATGATGAAGGGAGGTGTGCTTCCGCTTATGGCGCATACTGACTCCTGGGTTGCTCGTCGTGCTTCATTTGCTCACAAGACGTTATGGGTTGTAAGAGATCAGGAGGGTGTAGATGGTAGCAGGATGTGGCCAAGTGGAAAGTACGTCCCTCAGACGCGTGAGGAGCCTGAGGACTCTGTTGGCAGATGGGTCAAAGATGGAAACGGAAGCATCGAGAACGAGGACATCGTGCTCTACCTGACTGTTGGTGCGTTGTACCCTTGCTCACATTCTTTGGTCATTGGATAAACGATATCCCCCCACCTCTTTCGTAGGCACGACTCACATTCCTCGCCCTGAGGATTGGCCTGTGTGAGTACCGCTCACTGCATATAAGAGTCCGGCCACCTAACCCTCCCTTAGCATGCCAGTTGAGCACGTTAATTTGATGTTCAAACCTAACAATTTCTTCACGAAGAATCCGAGCATGGATGTCCCAGGAACAAACGACCCGATGAGCAAGCCAGCCTTCAATGGAGCGAATGGCGCCAACGGCTCGAACGGCGCTTGCTGCTCCCATTAATGTGATACCACTCACCCGACGTTTTCTTGGTTCTGCGTACTCGAAGGACACCAGTGTATAACATTTTTTTCACCGCTATCGACTGCCCATGCGTGTATCAGATATCTCGAGTACCTAGTATGATTTCTCGGACAAAGATCCGAGCGTTTAATTTGTCTCCACTGTATTACCTATGCCTACTTGGATAAATTTCCAAGCTACTTAATACGATTTACTGCTGTCATCTGTGATCTGGCGAGAATGAGGGAAATTTGAGATTCAACGAAAAGGTGGACTTGCCTTGGGGTGGATATCCACATGTAAATGTTTTCGCGCGCGAAAGCGCGATCCTGGGTGTATCCTGAAGTCCTCCTCTTCTTCAAAAACTGAGTCCCTGCATCGTCGGTCTTCTCGCGTCTTCTTCTAATTTCCACACCTGTTTCTGCTGATCCACGCTTTGAACACCACCATCCTCAGTAGATTCAGCATCGACCGCTCTCAACGTAGGCTTCACACCAAGCGAAGCGCACAACGCCTTATATCGCGATCGAATCTGGCGCTGCAGCTTCGAAATATCAATCTCTTCCATCGCACCAGAAGCCACCACATCAGCAGAAGGATTTATCCGTGGGAACTGCGATACAAGATCAAGTAAATGCTTGATATGGTGCATCGCGCGTCTGCAAAAGAAAAAGAAAAGTCCGAAATCATCATGGAGAGAGGAAGCGAGACAACGCACTGGTCGTCCCGTCCGTGCTTTGCGTATATCGTTTGCCAGGTGGTAGCGAAGCCCTCGTAGAAACCGATCTCTTCCCATATCTCGAAGCCTTTTTCGCGCCCGAGGGCTCGACCTTCGATCAGGCCGTGGATGCGTCCGTGCGCAAAGCCGTCGGTGTACCCCGCGTCGTAGAACCTGAGGCTTGCTCTTCAGAGAGATCTGGCAATTAGAAAAATAATGAAGCCAACGTCTGTTCCAAGTGCACGAGTGCTTCGAGATCAAATTCATCAGCCATAGCTAGAGGGATTGGCGGTAAAAAGGCTGCATATGAGTTGTTTGGCAAAGGCTTTAAAACCTAACTGATACAAACAAATTGAAGTCCTACTTGGCGCGGTGACACTGCACTGAGCTTACTACAACTAAACATCGCGCGATGATATAAAGATAAAAAGTTATCAGTCCATATGCTCATATTGATTGTCCATATACATGACGTTTACTACCTTATCCCCTCCTCGTAATACATAGGGGTATACAACCTAATATTAGTAGAGTGACATAAAAAATGAAGCAAGGTATTAATGAAACCCCTCATAGCGCATTTGCACGATCCAATAGGCCTCTGACGCGTCTGCTAAGTCTCTCGGCCTCTATTTTCCGATCAAGGACTTGCTGAGCAGGACTATCCTTCCTCCGCATCCACATCTTCCCACCTTTACAATCACTTTCTGCTCTCTTTGCATGAAGAGCGGATAGATCAACAACACGAGGCGATGAGGAGAATTTGATGACGTCCCGGTAGAGAACCTTGGTTTCTGTGGCGAGCGAGCGAATGGTAGGAGGAGCGGATGGAAGTTCCGTATCGGATTCGTCTGTGTCGGATTGTCCTGAGGGGTCCAGTGGAGGTGTACGTACACGACTGATAGGTTCTGGGAGATGTGGTAGTGCTTGTATTTCCTTGAGCAGGTCCTGGCCCTTGAGATACGAGTTTTCTGTGCGCAAGAAGCGGACGGTGCCACGAAGAGCCTCGATCTATGTGAGAGTCAGAACAACAATGATAAGATGGCTCTAGACCTGCACGGACCTGCTCCAGAAGGTGTGATGTCTCCACATTACCTTCCATGGGGACATTCTCTGAATCGACAGGTTGTGTGCCAGCAGCTGGACACGACAAGTTATCGGACCGTGCAATTGACCCCAATACAAAGAAACATACCTTGTCGCTCCGAACCCGCAACCAACGCCTTCAGTTTCGCATTGTCTTGCTCGAACGTATCCAGGTCTGCCTGCAGTTGCTCCATTGCCTCTTCGTATGCACGTTCCTGCTTGCGCGCTTTCGAGAGTTCAATCTCAAGATCTCCAATGGTATCCGCTTGCTTCTTGACCGCTTCCATGCGCCGTTCCATGTGCTCAATCTTCACCCCTGACTCCTGTATCACTTGGTCTTTCGTCTTGAGACTCCGTACAAGTCCTTGTATTTCTTCCTGCAGCTGTGCGGCTTTCTGCTCGGCTTCGGCATTGATAGCCATGCTGGCTCTGATCTCCTCAATTCGTAGGACCCACGGTGGTGTGCCAGAGACTTGGTCATCGTTAGCATGATATTTGACGAATATTAAAGTTAAAAGAAGCCTACTCTTGAACACGTTCTCAGGTTCCATTGCCAAAGGAAGTAACTTGTTGCACTCCGCTGATAACTGGGCAATAGCTTCACCAACCGCCTCGAAGCACGAGGTCCCAGGTTTCATGTCCTTGGCGACAGTGGACATTGCAGTCTGCCTGGCGTACGACAACACTGTTGCAAGCTGAAACGGAGCCTTGGCACTACGGGCGTCGCTAAGGTGTGGAATTACTTGTTGGGCGAGCTACAGTTGTACAAATAAGCAGTCTTCCTCAGAAAGGGGAGCGAAAACACTAACAGAGATACCAAAGTTGACTAGCTCGGGAACTGCATTACTGAGAGTCTTGAGTTGCTGAACGAGATGTGACTTGAGTGCCGAAGACTCCTGGATAACGTCATCGAGGCGCTTTGTAAGTTTCCTGCCAACCGCTCAGCACATATCCGCAACGCAACAATCGACCTTACCTAGACAGCACCTTGGCGCTCTTACACCTTTCCAAGAGTTTCTGCAAGGGCTCGATGAGCTCTTCCTCGGGATCATAGCCACCCATGTCGAGGACGATATCTGTGGAGTAGTTTGTGTAAGCGATGTCGTGGCAGAGGCAGTGTCACGTACCCTCGTCATTGAGAATGACAGCAACGGACGTCTTCGTGAGCCCGATCGAGGCGGCAAATACATCGAGATCATGGTCAAACGAAAGTGCATACCCGAGTTCGCGCTCGCCCAGATCCTGTTCGAACCCATCGAAATAAGTCTCTGCCAGATGATCGAATTGTGCTAGCATCCTATGTCAGAAGTAAGCATTGTCTCATTCGTCGACATGAAAAGGCAGGGAAACGAAAGTCGCGAGGTATGGAAATGAAGACTAACGCACTTGAGCACGTCACTGACGAATTCCATCTCCCTAAACTCATCCCGTCGGAGAAGATCAATGTGTAGATCGATGCGTTTCTCCATGGGGGCAATCTCAGGGTATATTCGCCCGATATTGAGGAACGATGTAGGGTCACACCGCCTGAGGATACTAGCGAAACGTTTGCAGAGCGTGGAAAAGGACGCGGCACGGCCGCGCATCTGTTATTGGTAAATAAATGTTACAAGTGCCGCTGTTGAAAGTCAGAAAACACAACGCACTTCACATATTCCAACAAGCGTTTCCGAGACGACACCATTGAGTGAGTCTGGTAGACCATGAGCCAGTCCCACAATAGTGTTGATGAGGTCGGTTTTGTACCCCAGGCGTGCGAAGAAGAGATAACAACTTGTAGCGTCGCTGTCGGACTCGACGTATTGTTGAGGTAGGTAAGGCTAGAAAGTGAGAAGATAAGGTTGCAAGTCGAGGAGGGATTAGAACAAGTGAAGAAACACAAGAAGACTAAGGGAGTGATGGGAAAATAACGGACAGGACAAGAAGAATGAAGCAAATATGGGGGTCGAAAGGAGACAGACGAATGAAGTCATAAAGCGGAAGCGCGGTAAGGCAGGAATGCTTCATAATCGCGACTTCATACTTGCATTGCCCTGCACACAGCTTCTGCTTGACGAGAAATAAACGCAACGAAAGAAACGGGGGAGAGGGTGAAAATGAACAGAAAAGTCGGAAAGCAAAGATAATGGACAGAGGAGGGTAATGTTCTCAAACAACAAAAAATGAAGCCCACCTGCACAATTCCCAATAATTCTCCCCTCTCCCTCGCCTCGAGCTTCTTGATCTCTAGCTCTACTGCCCTTGCCTGGTTTTTAGCAGCCGAGGATTGGAGTTTCAAATTCAGCGACATCATCGTTGCCGTCTGGTGCGCAGCCGTAGCAGACTCGTGCTGCGCTGTTTGCGTCGCTGAACGCATGGAGTCGAGTTCGCTGGTAAGTGAATCAGCATGACTCCCGCGAAGACAAACAACTGAAGAAGCAAGCGAAAATAATAGGAAACCCACCCTTGCATATCTGCAACGACTTCCCTAAACCTCGCGATGGTCACATCTGCGTCTGACACTATATCTTCAAGTAACCCAACTCTGACCTTCTCTTCTCTCAGGTCCTTCTCGCGATCTAAAATTTCGTCTCGAAGCTCACGCTCAACTTGAATGTGGTTCTCTTCGAGTTCGTCTGTGAGTTCCTTGAGGGCCTCGAGGTCTTCGATCGTGACGCGCTGTTCTTCGATTTTCTGGGGAGGAGGATGAGCGGGTGTAAACGAGGCAGAGAATGGGTAACATTGTGTGATGGAGGATAGATATATATGTTAAAAACAATGCTCCTGGAGGGAAAGGCAGAGATCATACACACCTCCGAAAGCGATAAATTTCGTTCTGTAAGCTGCACGAGCAGATCTTCTGCTCCTAGTGCATCATCAAGTTGTTGTTGTAGCGATGATATCTGAGTTTCCGCATTGGAAAGCTTAATTAGTGTTTGTTCGTATTGGCCTATTGGTGACGTCAGTTTAAATTAAGTTCGAGGGAAGGGAGAAGAAAAGGGAGGCAGAGAATGGTGACGATCAAGATGACAGGTACTAAAGGGACATGCCTTGTAGGTCATCAATACTCGTGATGTCTTTCTCCATCTCTGCTATGCGGCGGCGCTGTTCTTGTTCTGTCTCCTGCGACATGTCGCGAAGGCTATTTCAGCGCACAAATCATGAAGAATTCGATGTAAAAACATAACAAATATAACACACCGTATAAGCGCCTCCTTCAATCGCTCGTTCTGTTTCTCAAGCTGGATATATGCGAGTGATGTCTTAGCGTTTGAATCACCATCTCTCCCCGAGGCTACAAGAAATAATCCGTCAGCTAATTGCCAAACCCAACACATTATACTAACCACCATCCTCCTTCATGACATCCAGCTCCACTTCAACACGAGCAAGCCTTTCCTTCACCTCCTCCAACTCCTGTTCTGCTAATTCGGCCTTCTCCTCTGCAACCTCCTTATCCAACATCGCCATTTCCAGCTGCTCTTGTGAATCCGCACCCCTTGTCTCGCCCAAATTCGCAAGTTGCTCTGCATCTGCTAATGCACGCTTCGTTGCAATCAGTTCAGACTGGAGTGATTGTAGTTTAGCTTGGAGTTTGGGGCGCAGGGCAACGAAAGACTCGGCATCTGCGAGGCGAGTTTCAAGCTCACGAATGTGTCGAGCATCATCAGCGCGTTTAGCTTCGAGTACGCGTATTTTCGCATGCACGGCGGAATCTTCGGTACGCTAGAATTTGATTGAAGTGAGTGAGTATAGAGTATATGCACGTGGACTTACGGTTATGGGTGATGCAGGCTCATGCGAGGGGACACGAGAGATGGAAGGTGACGGTATCAGTTTCGAACTGTTTAGAGACGGAGAGTCGATTGGTGCGGGGGGCTGCAGAAACGTGCGCGCGACAGGCGAAGGTGGAGGTGGAGGCTCCACGGCCACATTCTTTGGTGGCAGTGATAATGGAGAGGACGTCCTCTGCACCTGGACGAGAGCCTCCTGTGAAGAGGACGACCCGACCTTAGGGGTCTGCAAGGCGGGGCTCTGAGGGGTGGAGGATTCTGCGGATGGTTGACGGGGAAATGATTTGCGATGTTGAAGAGTTAAAGATGGAATGCGCTTCGCGGGCGACGAGGCAGCCGTGAGACGGGAATTGCGTGGGGTAGCTACGGCAGAGGCGGAAGAGGCTGAAGGCGTGGCCTTCACGGGACTGGACGACCGGGAAGAAGACCCTGATGCGCCATTTGAACGCAGTGATGCTGCACGCGAAACGCCAGTGCTAGGGGTACGCTGATGACCCATGACTGTCCGAGCGA